AAAGGAAGGAAGAGGAAAGAAAGAAGGGAGGAAGGAAGAAAAAATAGCCAACTATTTAGTCACTAAGTACACACATCAAGTATGTGTATGTGTTCCATAAGGATAAGATCAATGTCCAACGTGTTTCTTTCCATATTCTCAGTGCTTAGCCCAGTGCATTACACATAATAGATGCTCCATAAATACTTAATGAGTGAATGAAGACGTAGGGGTAGCAAATAGCAATGTTGGTGACAAAAAGATTTGACTCACAATGGTGTGGAGAATCTAAGGGAGAAGGTAGTAGCCCTTAGAGTATCGTATATATGAAACCAGCCGGACTCAGCTAGATCCTCCTATTAGGGTAAGAGAAGTGCTTGGGCAACTGACCCACTGCAAGACTTACAGTAGAACACAGAATACATAGTGTTCAAGAGCCAGTGACTATCTCTGGACCTGGTCCAGACAAAGTTAATAATAAAAGACTAAAATGGAGTAATATAACTGTTCAACATGTGGTAAGGCTATAGGACTACTTGGAAATCCAGGCGGACAGTCAGGCCATGGGTAATCTAACAACTGTTAGCAAAGTGTGTATATATAGCCATGGGAATGTATATGCAGTCACAGAAGGTTTTCTACACAAGTGTACAGGTTTCTTTTTCTAAATATTGCAGTGCTGTTTAGAGCTTAGTATTTGACATATTCACTCTTTTTGAGACCATAGATATATATTTTTAACAGATGCATCAAAAGAAAAATATAAAATCTTTTTAAAATTGATAAAACATTTACTTTGAAATAATTTTAGACAAAGTCGCAAAAATAGAACAGAGTTCCTATATAACTTTTGCCCAGCTTCCCCTAATGGTAACATCTTATGTAACCACAGTACAATGATCCAAACCAGGAAAGTAACATCAGTACAAAAATGTTAACTAAACTAAAAGTCTTATTCAAATTTTCTCATTTTTTTCATTAGTATCCTTTCTCTGTTCCAATATCTATTCAGGGATCTCACATTCTGTTTATTTCTCACGTCTCCTTAGCTTCCTCCAATCTGAAGTCAAAACCTCTTAAAAAAGAGGAAATTTTTACTTTTCATCAGAATAATATGTTAAAAGTTAAATTTTCAACTAGCAGTATTGGTGTTTCTCAGGTCCTCCCCCATTTTCAGAGCACAGCCAAGAAAAGGAAGTAAGAGTCTGTATTTAATGCTGGGGGGAAGACTTACAGCTCTCTTTCCTACAACCTGGGCTTCTCTAATAATTGCTTTGTGTTGTTTGGCTTTAGTTTCTGCAAGATTTCGGGGGAACATTCAAAATCCCTGGACCACTTTTTAGTTAACGAGTTGCAACAATTGTGAACAAGAGTAGAAGAGAGTAGAGGAGTAGAGTGGAGAAGAAATCAGGTGGGCTTCATTCAGAAGGACATTCTGCTGATGAGAACTAGAAATATACTAAGGAATTGAGATTACAACTACCATCCAAAAGACAGAGTCTAGGACAGAGCTCATGAACTCCAGTGCCAGATAAATATTGTGAATAAATAGGGTGGGTACAAAATCCAGGACTTGTGTCACGATAAAAATCACAGCGTGTGAAGAAAATGGCAAGTATCACTCTAGCTCAGTCAGTAATGATATGGGGGTGTGGTGAACTAGACGGTACATATCACGTCTAAAGCAGGCAGTTGGTATTCAGCTCCACCTGAAATTTACAATCAGAATTTGAGCCCAGGGTTGCAAGATCCTCAGATGGTTTTTGTTTTTTTTTTTTTCTGGAGAACTTTCTTTTTTCCCCAAGAGAATTTTATGTGAAAATTCTTATTTTTAAAAAATTTTAGGAGATTTTATACTCACAAAACAGCTATAACATTAAATTTTCTCCATAAAATATGTATGAGTCTCAGTTAAATACATCTAGATGCTGGATGGCCTGCTCAGTGTGCTCAACACCTAAGTGACTAATTTCTACTCGCTGCTCTTGCAATGGGTACAAGTCCAATGCCGTAGCAAAAGTACAAATTATTTCATGTCATAGACTTTTAAATTACTATTAGTAAGTTCAAACAAATCAGAAAAAACCAAGAGTCTATTACACTAAAAATTTCTAGGAAGGTGATCCGTAGACAACAGTGCTGATAGAAAATTTTTATATTTAAATGTTAGTAACTAACATTGGCCTGTGAATTTCTCTTGAAAATCCCTCAACTCTTGAATTATCTAAGAATTCCAAGGCCTTTCTCAGTCAATCAGAGTCGGTCTGCTTCCAAACACTGTGAAAAGAAAAAAAGAGGACAGATCAGTTTTCTCTTGCTTTTACTTCTCCTGGCCATGGAGTGGTCATTGTTAAAGATGGGTTGGAACAGATGTTGGTTCACTGCTGTTGGATGGTCCTTGCAGATCCAGATCTTATTCAGGCCACAGTTGTCACATAGAGCTCCAGCATTACAGCTCTTTCACATTCCCACAGTCAGCTGTTGCTCCCCAGTGCCCAGAAACATGCTAGACTGACTATGCCCAGTGGAGCTTCCAGTATCATCCAGAAGGTGTTTTCCTTGACAGTTTTCCTTGAAAAAAGTCTTTGGACATTTTGTGGATCTCTAGTCTTTGGCCCAGAATCCTGCTTTTCTCAGGGAAATTTTATTTTACTTGATTATTTCGTCTGTCCTACACCTGGGCCTTATTCTGTGCCACTCTGGTCTACTCTATACCAAAAAGACTCGTCAACTCTGAACTTTGAGAAGTAGGAACAGTGGAGGTTGGAACTTCCTTTTTTTTTTTCCTTTCCCAGGAGGTTGAAGCCTCTTCACACAAATTCATCTACCTCTCCCTAGTAATCAGCTCTACTGAGGTGGCTTTTGCTAAACCACTAAGTAAACAAACAAATAAATAGTCTAGTTACAACTTCCTGGAGGACAAAGGATACAGGTAACATTACATTTACATAACTCAGTGAGGCCATTGAAGTGACTCAGCCCTAAACAAAGAAGGTCTGGTCCAAAGCAGTCTCATCTTTAGGCATAGGAAAGGCTTCCCTAAATTTAAAAAATTTCCCTCAACTAGCATTTGATATAAATCTTTACCTTAATACGTAACCTGTTATCCAGATTTAAAGAGTTTGATAAACTTGAAGCCATTCCTTATAGGGAGTCAATATAGGAAGTAAAAGCAAAGAAATACAAGATTATTACTGATATGTAATTATTTGACATAAAAATCTTACTTCCCCATTATGAAATTGGAATTGGAACTGAAAATGAGCACATTTATAACAAATCTTTAGTAGGTAGAAAGTGCAATTCATATACCTGTTATAACATATATATTCAAACATCTGCAAGAAAACTTCAGCAAGCACTTACATATTCTGTGCTTAGATAACAACTTTGTTGCTGGTTAGATCTTTCTTTTAACCTTCTGCACAAAGTGAAGAGTCAAAAAATGCTTCAGTCCTCAGTGAATCTGTAACAATTTTCCCTCTGTGGATTGTTAGCAATAATTAGCCTGGATGCCATTTATGGCAAGGGTACAAACATTTCGGTTTGTGAGAGTATGTTTCAAAGGCTCTTCAGTGCTGAATGTCTTCCTTGATTGGGAATGTGAAACTGAATAAAGGAAACCTCATTTAAAACGGAGCTGGGGGCGACTTCCCTGGTGGCGCAGCAGTTAAGAATCCGCCTGCCAATGCAGGGGACACGGGTTCGAGCCCTGGTCGGGGAAGATCCCACATGCTGCGGAGCAACTAAGCCCCCCATGCCACAACTAGTGGCGCACGGGCACCCAGAGCCCGTGCTCCGCAACAAGAGAAGCCACTTCAATAAGAAACCCGCGCACCACAACGAAGAGTAGCCCCCGCTCTCTGCAACTAGAGAAAGCCCGCATGCAGCAACGAAGACACAACGCAGCCAAAAATAAATTTAAAAAATAAATAAATTTATATAAAAAAGAAATAATTAAAAAAAATAAAATGGAGTTGGGAATCCAGAAGGGGAAACTCTCACGCACTACCACTCATTGCCATCTGCAGACCCCAAGAAGGAAGAGACATACCTTGCATCTCCAATCCCCAGCAGAGGAAGGAAGATTTTCTGCTTGCCCAGCAACAAGTGCAACCAGTGGGAACATTGCAACTCAGCCACTGGGAAACCATCATTAGCCTGAATTCTCACTTTCCTCTGATGGACTTTCATTCAAAACACCTCCTCCCAACCTTTCCCTCTCCTCTATAAAGTAACGTTACTCTCCTTTGTTTGCTGGACTTGGCTATGGTTTTTGCTACAGAGAATTGCAATTCTCCTCTGTCCCTGAATAAACTTATTTTGCTTGTAAAATAACTTGCTGTTTTTAACAGAAATAATACTTTATTTTGCTTTTCTTCTCTTCTACTTTTTCCCAAGAAACCTAAGAATTGTTTCAAACTTGTACTATGTGTGAACAGATTTCTAAATAGATTGTAGTGGGTTTGTGAGCTTTAGGAGAGACAACGCTTGGGGTAAAGCTCCCAGGCTGGTGAGACTTAGGGACTTGGATTTCATCAGCTGAGCACCGAGAGACTTCGTTTGCTCACTGGTAAATGGAGAAAGTAATATTGGCTCTGTCTGCCTTACAAGGCCGTGTGAGAAATAAATGAGATAAAAAATAATTATTTGAAAATTCCCAAAGCACAAATACAAAATATTAGTCCAGGGTAGAAAACTTTATAAGTTTCAAGGTGAAAAAGTTAGTGCTAATCTAATTTAAAAGTCAGTATGTGATAACTTTTTATTACTGTGCTTATAATTTTATGAATAACAGGAAAAAAACATATATGATATGGATATGATATGATAACTTTTTATTACTGTGCTTATAATTTTATGAATAACAGGAAAAAAACATATATGATATGGTTAAATGGTTCATACGGATGACCTAGCAATTTCATACATACTCCAAGAAGACCATAAATACTACTCTTTACATGGTAAACATGGGTCAAAATGTTAATACGAAACAAATTTTTTATTTCTTTCCTCAGAATAAGAACTTCTTGGAAAAATAATTGCAGCATCAAAGAATGCTCTGGATGAAACAGGTCCTGGACACAAATTCCAGTTTGCAGCCTACATTCCCTCAGTCTTACGTCTCATTTTGGGTATGCAATTCTGTAGTTGTTGTCTTTTTTCTTTGAGGTTACAAACTTGCATGTGTATGCAGATGTTTTGAGAACTTGCTTTTGAAAAGTTGATTGGTGGAATGGATTTGAAAAGACCATGAAGGATCAGTGATCCGTTAAGTAAAAACAAATTTAACCATTTACATGATGTTGTCCCAACCTTGTTAATGAAAAAGAAATAAATGTTTGAAGCAAATTAACTCGGAGACTCTCCAGGATTTCTTAATGCAGCTAAACTCCTTTAAGAAATGCTTGGAATTTTTGTTTTAATTGATATTTCACATTAACAAGCTGGCATCCCTTAATGGCCTGAAATCAGAGCCATTTAACTGAGCTCAGTCACCCGTGAAAATTAATTTTCAAGATTTAATAAAGGATATTATGAAGGGTGGGCCAAGATGATTCCCATGATGAAAATCAGTGTAATGATACTAAGGGCAAACTGTGCAAGCCCACCATGGGTTCAGGTATTTCAGTGGGCTTCCCAGTCAATGTTATCACTTCCTAAAAGAGGTTATTGCCAAAGTTTTACTGACGATGAATAATTAATTCTAGTGGCTTTTGGAACGTGTAGTTTGTTGATTGAAATATTGGATAAAAATATAGAGTATACAAAATGGCTCATTTTTAAATGGATTCAGACCTTTTACAGGTCAAACCAACTAAGCCTCTCCTTCAAACATAAAGATGTACATAACTCTAAAGTGAGATTTTATTGTGTCCCAAAAGCAATATTATATAAAAGGTCATATCCCACACATAGCATGGCCTTATGTATCCACAGAAAGACACACAAACACAAGCACTTTCATTTGCCATGTGATGTAGCTCCTAGAATGTTATGTCCATACTGCCTTTGTAAGACTTTTAAAAAGGCATAATTGAGGAAGCACCCAAAGTGAAAAGTATATACCCAGAGGCAAATATATTTGAAAATATTTTTCTTCTTTTAATAGGTTAATTTAGACATTTGTTGATATGACAGGTACTTTTGGTGTCATACTTCTATATTACATTATGCTTTAAAATATTTTTGTGGGTTTAAAGTTTTTTGGTTTGTTTTTATTATTTTGATTGAGTGTTTTGAAGGTTTGCATTTGTGTTCTATTTATTACATTTATAACTATTACTTTACATAATACTCTTAATCCTCTACTATTTTAAATAGTATCTGTTAATTTCCTTCGATGAGTAATAAAAAAAATTAGGTATTTCTTTTTCCTTCCCATTCTTTTACCCATTCTCTTTCCCATTCATTGTGATTGGTTATAATATCTTTCTTAGTGTTTAATTTTACTGTTACATGTTCTTATGACTCTATTTTATTATTTTCTACCTTTAAGTGATATATCTTAAATCCCAGCTACATAAGATGAGGTTATCAGTGTGCATTATTTTTTCCCCAGATTCTCACCTGCTTCACTGTATATTTTTTGTGAGAGATCTCATTTCTATATTGTCAAAGTTTATACTATTTTCGCTTGATTCTGTAATCATAACCCTATATCTGTGTTACTCTTGGTCCTATGGTTATATAGGATTAATATTCATCATCACCTTTTCCTCATTCATCTTGTACTTGGATGAAGTTCTTAATCTAATTGTTTTTTCTTTTTCAAAATGGTTTACTCTTATACTTAGATGATAAAATAGCCAGGTATAATTTTTTTATTAGGTGACAGTGTCTTTTTTCGGTAATTTGTAGGCAATGCTCAGTGAATTTTTCATTTTCAGTGTTGACTTGAAGGCCTGTCTGATTTTGTTTTTCTCCTTTACTGGCTTTTGTGGGATAGTCCCAATTTATGCCTATTGTCCAGTCATACTTTTTTTTTTTTTTTTTTTTTTTTTTTTTTTTCGCGGGCCTCTCACTGTTGTGGCCTCTCCCGTTGTGGAGCACAGGCTCCGGACGCGCAGGCTTGCCGGCCATGGCTCACGGGCCCAGCCGCTCCACGGCATGTGGGATCTTCCCAGACCGGGGCACGAACCCGTGTCCCCTGCATCGGCAGGCAGACTCTCAACCACTGCGCCACCAGGGAAGCCCTATTTTTAAGGTTTTTGATAAGCATCACCAAGTTGCTTTTCAGGAAGATTACACCAGAAAAATCTTCCACCATGAACATATGAATGTGCTCATTTCAGCTCATGTTTGCTAACAATGAATACTATTATTTTGAGATATTTGTTTATTGCATTCCTGAAAAGTAGTATCTCATTGTATCAGAGGCAGCCAGTTGCCCCCAAAATCCCTTCTTCCATTCTTCTGCAGCATGAATCCGTAGTTCCCCTCTTTTCCATGTGTCTGCTCAGCTACAGACCTCATCCCCCAGCCCCCCTTGCAGCTAGGTTTCACTTTGTGGCTAGATTATCAGCAGTGTAAACAGAAGGACATGTGCCACTTATGGATCTTGACCTTAAAACACTGACTGACTACTTCCCTGAGGTTTTTTTTCCACTGTCTTTCCCCTAGAACATGGGTGAGCCTATGACAATGTGTTTGGGAATTGCAGAACTACAAGATGGGAGAAAACGGTGTTCCTGAATGATAGTGTGAAACAAAACCACTCAGCTGACTTGGACTTTGTCACCCATGACTGTTATAAGAGAGAGAACTTAATTACTATGTTCTTTAAGCCACTGTATTTTGGGCCTGTTTATTACATCAGCCTAGCTTTTGCCCTGATTTATGTACTCATTTTATTTTATTTTGAATTATTTGCTGACTTTATATTACAGATTTCTTTCTGGGGCTAAATGGGTTTGAAATAACGCTTTGTACATTAAAGTTAATAGCCCTTTGTTGTTTATAATTTCATTTTCCTTCAAATTCTTCTTAGGCAGTTACACTTCTCAATTATCTTGTATCATGTCCAATGCATTTTTTCATTTTACTTAGGGAAATATTCTATGCTAATATACATAATGCTATTAATGAGAGTCCTGAAACTAATATTCTCTTTCTGCTTCTGCCATTAACTCATCTATAAAATTAATTTCCAAGACCTCTTCTAGCTGTATAATTCTGTGATTCAGAATAGCTTTCATACTCGAGAACTAATAAGGACACAAACATCTAAGAGCTACAACTTTAAACCACAAGAAGAACGAGATAAGTATTATAGATCATCTAACTATTTTTTGCCATTTCCTTCTTTCTGCTGTATTTCTTAAAGAATTGGAGATGGGACAATAACATAAGGGAGATTTCAATAAATTTTTTGAAGCTGGATATTAGATAGAGGAATGAGAACTGAATTAGTTGGGTTACCATCTCAGTGATTATAGTGGGGCCTACTGATGTAATTAATCACCATGCAGAACCTATAAGAGATTCATCAATTGAAGGTGTCAAGTACTGTGAAGGATAAATATAGACCCTTTCTCATATCTCAGGAGAGGAGAGTTTTAATCAGGACCGGGGGTACCTGGCATTTAAGAGTACAGGGGTGAGAGGTAGGGATGAAAACATGGTATGTAGTGAAAATCTTCATACTGAACTGTGGAATCCTCAGTCACTTCCTTTATTCCTAGCATTTCTGAAGTAATGTGTATAGAAAACTCTGAATGACCCTAGAGAAAATATCTTAAAGTGCTGAAATTTGATTTTCTTCCCATGAAAAGTGCCTAATATAATGAAAATCCATATAATTGCATATCATCATAAACTTTCAGAATAGGAATAAAGAAAAAAAAATCCTAAAGTCTTCCTGAAGGTAAAACGGGTCATGAATAAAAGATCAGAAATAAGAATGACATTAGATACCTCAAGAACAAAACTGAAGTATGAAGAAAATAGAGCCATACCCTTACAATTGAAAGAAAAAATAATTCTCACTCAATTAAGTGTGAGGATAAAGATATTTTCAAATTCTCAGTGTTTCAAAAAGTGACCTCCCATTCACCTTGTTTCTCCTAGGAATTGACTGGAGGATATGTTCAGCTAAAATGAGGGAGTAGATCAAGAAAAAGGAAGAGAAAAAAAAAATTAAAAAAAAAAAAAGGGGGCTTCCCTGGTGGCGCAGTTGTTGAGAGTCCGCTTGCCGATGCAGGGGACACTGGTTCGTGCCCCGGTCCGGGAAGATCCCACATGCCGCGGAGCGGCTGGGCCCATGAGCTATGGCCGCCGAGCCTGCGCGTCCGGAGCCTGTGCTCTGCAACGGGAGAGGCCACAACAGTGAGAGGCCCGCGTACCACAAAAAAAAAAAAAAAAAGGAAAAAGGAAGAGGTGGAGCCCTGAAAAGAGGGGAAGACATTATGAAGGGAATTATTAGGATGATGGCTGTGTATAGATGGAGAGAGAAGACAGTCTACAGTGGAGCAGGAGAAAGGAGGAGCTGAACTGACATCTCCTGGATAGACAATTTGAAGTAGGAGAAAACTTGGAAAAAATTTTGCTAGGTCTGTTTGAATCTTTGGGGAAAATTAGAGATAGGCACATAACAGGCCAATCAAAAAGAAGTTAGGTATTAACTAGGGAAAATAATCTTATGAAACACCAACATAATTGTAGTATACTTGGCAGTATACAGTCTTTACATAATCACAATGCTGTAAACTCTGACTACTGATCTCACCAAACAATTACAAGTATATTAGAAAGGAGGGTGGAGGTGAGATACGTGTTTATGAGATTACTAAATCTTCACCTGTCTCCAATGCTATTTTATCTTTAAACTATGAATGTGAATTTCTATAGTAAAATAAAAGAATATTATAGACAAGAATATATCCATACTTTGCATTAGATTTCCAGAAATTTTCTTGGAATAATCTTTTAAAACTGCTGTCTGTGCTTTTAGAACTGATCATTGCAATGCTCCAACTGTAAAAGCAAGAGCGATGCAGTTGTATTTTTAAGATATTGTAGACACACTTTTAAAAGTCTTCTTCTTAGGTCAAACTTCTCTCTTGTTTTTTTAAAAACTTTATCAGTGTTTCAATATTCTTTAGCCACTGGTTTTCAGTGAAGG